ATTTATAAACAAATTTTGTTTAATATTAATTTATTTTTAATATTAATTATTTTTTTTAATTTAAATTATTTCATGGAAGCAGTCGAAAAACTTATGTCATTAAATTGCAGCTAATTTGTTCCGATTCTACATGTATGATGTATTATAGCTTAGATAAAAGTAGTGGGAATACGCAGTGGTCTGACACGATACGAGCGTACCTTTGTATTTATATATTTAATAACAAAAAGCTGTCGATGACTTGTTGTTCTGCTTGGGTAATTTTAAAAAATGCGACTTTTTTATTAATTATTTATATTTGCGTTACTAATTTATGTACTGAAAAGGACCCCGAAGTGAGGGGTCGAAGATCGAAACGTATATCGAGACTTTTGTTTAATAGAGTTTTGATTATTTCACATACTAAAACATCCAAGTTGGCTCATATATAGGCATTATATATCAGATTTAATCTCTTGAACCTGCGATTATCTGCACTTATTGTTTTACGTAAAATATTGCGAATTGTATGAGTACAATTAAATTATACTTTATATAATTTTATATTTTATAAAATTTTGAAAAAATGTAATAAAATATATTATACCAAAAAAATAATTAATTAAATAATAGAAAAGAGATTCCTAGCAGCACAATTCATTGGCGAAATGTTGGTTAAACATTGGCATACATTGGGGATATGTTGGACCAATATTGCGCCGATGAATTGTGCTGTTAGGGATTATAATCGGCGGGGGTAGTGGAGGGCCTCTAAGGGATTGACCCATTTTTGTTTATTTGAAAATTCTATTTTAAATTGAGAATAATTCAGGTACTAATCATATCTCACTCACACACACACATACACACAAGTCGGATATGATGTACGTTCGTGAGATCAACGATAGAAAATGATAAACTTATAGAAAACGACACAAACTATTAGAAATTCTGTTGTTCTCTATCAATTGTTTTTTCCAACGATATATTTTAAAAAATAAGAATTTAGAGAAAGACTTTTTTATTACTACTTGTAGCTATAGATGTATTCAGAAAAAAAAATTTTTTTTCTGAATTTATACATGCCATCATAATATAAATTGAATATATACCTTATTTTTAAAATTATATATATAGTTTTTCAATCTTGAGGATACACAACGCCTAATTGTCTACGCAACTCATCCTCCAATTTCGCCAGCAATAAGGATGTGTCGTGCGATATCTTTGGACTTTCTATCAAACCTGCGAAATTAAACATAATAATTAAACATAAAATATTCAATATTATAATTATCGATTATAATTATCGATTTTGTGTACAAAAATCAATTTTATTATTACTATAAAAACATTCTTCGATAAAGGGCAGCGTTTATTAAATTATATGACAAAATGTTGCATAAATTTGGTAATCTGTGTAATTATACGGATATACTAACAAAAATAAATGCAGAAACATTTGACCTTTTCTAAAATATAATAAGTATTTAATTAATTTTGACATGCATAATTTAGAAATTTCTGACAAAGCTGTTGCATTATGACGAATCATCTTAGCGCAATTATTGCAAAATTATCGTTAATTCAAAATGCCATAATTGTACAATATTTTCATAATTTGTCTCTTGAGATTATTAAAGTAACTCATAAAAGATGAGAAACTCGACCGGTGGATTAGAACACTGACAATTTTACCTTTCAAAATGCAGTTACGAGCTTCGACAGCTTCGTAGGAAAGTCCGGCGGAATTTATGAAGTTAATCTCGTGTTTTAATTTCGGTAGTGATATCTGTTTAGTGACGCTCGGCAATTCAACCTTCGTCGGACACCAAAAATCAGGCACTTTTATCATACCATTGGTACCGCAAATGTACGCCTCATTCGGCAGATCAACCAGCGCATTTGTTACGATTGTTGCGGTGCGGTTCCCTTTATAGGTCAAAGTAGCTGACATGCACATATCGACGCCATTCTCATTCAGAATTCCAGCCGCCTTAATACTCTCCGGCATTTCATTATTATATACCAAGCAGGCAAATTGCAAACCGTAAATGCCAAGATCAAGAATTGATCCGCCGCCTAACTCTTTCAAGCTGTAAATTGATTGATTAATTAATTAATTGCCTTGCCTCTTTTAGACGCTAAAACAGTTAATAAACATTACATTATCCGATCCACATCAGGCATTTGAAAACCGAAGGAAACGATCACTTGATGAATATCGCCTATGTTGTTAGACGCGAGTTCATTTCTAATAACATCATACACGGGAAAACAGCGGCTCCACACGGCTTCCATTAGGAACAGATTTTTACTCTTCGCGTAATTAATCAATTCAGTGGTCTGTTTTAAGTTCATCGTCAATGGCTTTTCGCACAGGACATGCTTCCCGTGCTTCAGCATAAGCATCGCGATGTCGAAGTGATAAGGGTGAATCGCTCCGATATATACGATGTCTTGAAACACGAAATATAACAAGTATAAGTATATAAAATTTAATTTAAAACAATTTTTATGGAGACATATTATTTTTGAGCATTACTTCTTTGATACACACACACACACACACACACACACACACACACACACACACACACACACACACACACACACACACACACACACACACACACAC